AACATACATGAATAGATTGTTTCTTGTTTTGAAGTACTAGGAACAAAACACTTAGTTCTCATTTACAGCTTTCACTAAGGAATAAAGAAAGTTTTCATATTTTCTTTTATCTTATGATTTTTTATTTAAATTAGAAAAAAACCTTAGTTTATGTACCAATCACAGTTCCCTCTCCCTCCCATCCTGCTATGCTCCCCACCAGTCCCCCATCCTACTCCTCATCCACTCCCCATGGAGGACCATCAAAGTCTGTCACATCATTTGAGTCAAGGCCTAGGCTGAAAGAGTATACCTCCATGGGAAACAGGCTTTCAAGTCCATTCCTGTACTAGGGATAAATACTGGTTCCACTGCCAGAGGCCGCATAGACTTCCCAGGTCTCCTAGCTGACACCTACATTCAGGGGCCTGGTTTGGTCCTGTGCTGGTTCCCCAGCTGTCAGACTTGGGTCTGTGAGCTCCCATTTGCTCAGGTCAGTTGTTTCTGTGGGTTTCCCCAGCATGGTCTTGATGCCTTTGTTCATCACTCTTCCCTCTCTACAACTGGATTCCAGGAGTTTGGCTAGGGGCTTACCTGTGGATGTCTATTTCTGCTTCCATCAGCTACTGGATGAAGGCTCTAGGAAGGCATTTAAGGTGGTCATTAATCTCATTACAGAGGAAGGCTATTTAAGGTATCCTCTCCCCTATTGCTCAGCCTTCCAGCTAGGGTCATCCCTGTGGATTCCTGGACATTTCCCTAGTGACAAACCTCTCCTGAAACCCACAATGGCTCCTTCTAACAAGCCATATCCCCTCCTGCTCTCCTCTATTCTTCCCCCAGCTCAAACTCGTCCCCCATGTTCTCCTCCTCTTCCTCTTCTTCCCTCCTCTTTCTCTTCTCTCCATCTCACGTTACCCCCTCGGTGCTCCCAATTTGCTCAGGAGCTCTTGTCTCTTTCATCTTCTCCAGGGGACCATATATTTCTCTCTTATGGTCCTCTTTGTTTCCTAGCTTCTCTGGAGGTATGGATTGTAGTCTGGTCATCCTTTGCTCTGTGTCTAGTATCCACATATAGTGAGTACATCCTTTGTTTGTCTTCTGTGTCTTTGGTAACCTCACCTCTTCTAGTTCCATCCATTTGCCTGCAAATTTCAAGATGTCATTTTTTTTAACTGCTGAGTAGTGCTCCATTGTGTAACTGTACCACATTTTCTCTATCCACTCTTCAGTGGAGGGGCATCTAGGTTGATTCCATGTCCTGGCTATTACAAATAATGCTGCTATGAACATAGTTGAACATATGTCCTTGTGGGTATATGCCTAAGAATGGAATTGCTGGATCTTGAGGTAGATTAATCCCCATTTTCCTGAGAAATCGCCATACTGATTTCCAAAGTGGCTGTACAAGTTTGCACTCCCACCAGTAATGGAGGACTGTTCCCCCTTCTGCACGTCCTCTCCAGAAGTTCATATTTTCTGTATAACACTAAAGTTTTTAGTATTAATTTCATAATTTGACAATTTAAGGTAAATTTCTAATAAAGTGAAAAAAACATTGTTTCTGCTTAAATCATCAGCTTTATTATTAAAAGTTATTTGACATTTTCAGTAGACATATAATCTGTCTTTAATAAAATATTAGAGGATAAAAATTTAATGACAAATTTCTTACTGACATCTTTTGCAAAATGTCTTCCTCAGTGAGAGTTAAGTATAATAATTTGAAAGGCAGTAGAACAGGCAGCCTTGGACATCTGTTGTGACTCTGATTCCGAACACTGGCAAAGATTCCATGACATGGGAAGATTATTATTATTGTCCTTTCTGTAAGGTACAGCAAGCTAAGTGATTAAGGCTATGAATCAAAATAAATTAACTGCATGAAGCTGTGAGACGCTTGGAGCATGACTGAGTGACAGGTGGGAGTCTTCTGCTTTCATCAGTGATTTACCTCAGACTGAGATAAATGTTTGGTGACATATGTAGTCCTCCTGTTCTGAGCGGTTGTGTTTCCTCACTCCTTATCCTCTTCACCATGAGGAGGCACCACTCCAGTGTCTTGAGTTCATGAGTGCCTTTGGGTTGTCTCCTGAGGCAAGCATGAGAGCATCGGAAAATGTGTCACCCTACATTTCAGCAAATATGAAAAGTATGCACTTGGCACAGCAATAAATGCACAATTTATAATGAATTCAATGAAGTTTGGGATTCAATAATTGGAGTCAATTTCCTTAGGGTAGCATTGTGCAGCTAATATTTGAACAAGACTTCTTGCCTAGTATGGAGATTTACATTTCTAAATACATCTGCATTTTAGTTTTCACATTTAAAAAGTGAATGGATTTAATCAAATTCAAAGATTTGGTGTTGTCTCTTTACAAAGTTAAAAACTGAAATACTGAAAATCCAAGTTCTTTTCTTAAGGTTAGGTAAAATTATTTTCTAAAGGTCATACACTTAGTATATGATAGAACCAGGGAGATCAGAAGCAAGTCGTGAAGAAACAAAAAGGCTTGAAGTTTGAGGAATCATGTGACCAGGGTAGTAACTAAGGTATAAAATAAAAGGGGCTTAGCATCAAAGGTCTGAGAATTTCCAGTAAGGTTGGTTTCCAGTAAATTAAGTTACAAGTCATTTTGACAAGTGCTATAAACAAATGTAGGGCAGACATCAAATCAGATTCTGGCCTGAAGGATCTGAGAAAGTCCCAGAAGAGATAGTGGAATTTTAGGCAGGTTTTGATGGACAGAATGAGAAGAGCAGATATTAAGCAAAAACCACAGTGGAAGAAAGGTAGATTCGAGAGCACATGGTTTATTCATAAAAGGAGAAGGATCAGGTGTGTCCTGAGCAGGGATAGTGAAGAAATTGACAAAGATTGGAGAGCAGTAAAATGCAAAATGCAAAAAGAGTAAGAAGAAAAAAGACCAGAGGCAAGAAAATTAGACAGGCAGCTGCTGCAACAGAAGTTTAGGTAAGCGCTGATCTCTGTTGTGACTCTTGTGCCCTAGGGTCACCAACAGACTTGAAAACATTTAAAACATAAAGTGATAGCATAATGTGCCCTGTGTGAGAGAGAGAGCAATGAGAATATAAAATTGTTTTAAATCACACACTGGGAAGCATGTAGCTAGAGATTCCAGCCAACACAAATTACACATTTAAGTATTTACTCAGTGTACAGGGATTACTAGATGGGTTAGAATAATTCTGTCTACTGTACAAATGTTTTATAAGTATCAAATGAAGCAAGAGACATGAGAGGTCTTGTAATAAACATGCTATGTAAATATAATCCATTATCATTGTGTTAATACCTGTGGAAAGATTTTTGCTCTTTTTACACCACATCTCAGTATTATTCCGACTTAGCTTAGAAGCCTGACACACTTCCCAAATAAGTTTGTCTTTTTACAAACAAAAAGCATTAGATAAATTTTATGTGAGTGCATGAGAAAACAAAAGAGAAAAAATGCTTCAAAAAGCTTTGCTTGTTGTCAAGTAAGCACTCAACACCAGGTGAAAGTCAAGCTCCGTAATTTTCCTACTGATGCCTGCGTGAGAGCTACAATGGATGTTTTAGATATTGTGTTTTGGAGCCTTGGTATGGATTAGACTTTTGAAACTTAAAATTGTTACAGTACTCTAAGTTTGAGAGTGTGAAGCATCGGGCATTGTCAGGAATGTGGTCTTTGAAGACACGCAGCTGTGTGTGTGATCTCCATTTCTGCCATCTTGGACTTGGCACTGCGTAGGATGCCCTGTGGTACTCATCTCAGCCCCTCCCTTGCAGACTGGCCACAGTGAGCTCCTCTCCTTTGAGACGGGATTTAGGAGAAGCAACTAACTCAAGTATTGTGATGAAGCATGGCCCTCAGTGTTTGGTAAATAAATGCTGTGCCTGGGATTCATGATTGTGTATGACTTTTATACGTTGACTCCCAGACCAAAACACAAATTCAACAGATACTTGTTAGAAGGAAAGACAGATGATGGCAGTAAGGAGAAAAAAGGGGCAGAGGCAGTTAGAATCTACTTCCTTATATCGTGGCAAAGGTACTTGAGTGTGTATTATTATTTTGAACTCAAACACCTCAGCTCCAGTAATCCTCCAGCCTCAACCTCCAGAGTAGCTAGAACTCCAAGGCTGTGCCACCACACCAAGCTATTTCTTAAAGATCTGAAAGTAAAGCTAAATGTCTTACGTAGAGAACTAATTGTCAACCTTTTAATCTATGTATTGCTTAGAAGTACAAAACATTATTTACTCATGAAAATTAGATCACATCATGTTGACTGTCATATCTTAAGCTTAACTTGATTTCCCCATCTCCCTTTGTTCAGACATGCCCACACTTGCGTATTATAAAGCAGAATGTATATAATGCTTAATCTTAACAATTACCCACATTCAACACAGCTAGGATTCCTTTCGCTGAATTGCACAATCAATGGGATTTCTTCTGTCACCCTTTTGATGAATCCTTTTTTCAGAAGTTCTCCCATCACTTCTTACTTCTGTGCCATTTCTGTGAAACTAGTTTTATAGATTACCTTAAATATCACACTTAATGCGTACCTTTACAAATTTATCCTATCTTATGCTGCCATCTGCTGGATGCCATTGTTCTTAGGCAAGGATAATAGTCAAAATTCATGGAAAACCTTGCTACTTATTGGTTTCTTAATGGTCACAGTTGAGGTAGTAATGGGACTTTACATACTGGGGGCAAACCTGAGATTTTTAGCAAGAGACAAAAAAAGGCCAATAATACCGTGGTTCATTTTACTGACTCACACTTTATGTCATTTAGCCAGTATTCATTAATTTGTCCTGCCAAGATCTTCATGGAATCCACAAAGATATGTAAGATATACTTTTGTTCAATGTGACTTTATACCATAGCAGGAATAATCATAAAGAAACTGAATACAAAGGAATTCATTCAGTATATATTGTATTTCATATATTTGTCAATTGCAGCGTTAATGCTTAGTACATATTTATGAATTCTCAGATTACTACCTCTGTCCTAAGGAAGATCTCCTACTATTGGAGGCCTGACACTTGGTTTCCAGCTGTCGTCACTCTAACGGGAGCTCTCTTTGTGATGTGTCTGTATGCAGTTGCATGGTGCCTCTTCAAAAAGTAAGACTTCAGTTGTTGCTTCCCTTTGAATTTGTTCACAATGAAATATATCAGGGATGTCTTCATAAACAGGATACAAAGACTTTGAGAAAATTTCTGTATTTTTTCTCATGCTTCATCATGATGACTATTCTACATGTGGACTTTGATTATTAAGGAATATATACTGACCTAAAAGCCAAAACCTGTTCCAAAAATTGTTGAATAAATGAATCTAGCTTAAAACCTTTCGGCTTTTAAAAATGATCACAAATGGGATTTTAATTGTCCATGTGTATAATGAAGATCAGGATCTCTGATCATATTTGCTTATCAAAAGATAGAAGTGACAAAGTAAGAGACGAAAGAGCCTGACGAGCAATCAGAGAAGGGTTGAAATAATCCAGTAATTATCTTGTGATATGTCATGGTTGGGCTGTTGACAGGAGGGCAGAACACAGGGATGATAAACAGACAGTGTGTGCTCTTCATGAACACATCCTTTAGTAGAAAAGGAACTAAATCACAGAACCGGGAGATTGTAGATCACAGAGCAGTGGGATAAGGGGGTGACTGAAACTCAAGCATCATTCCGTGGCTTACAGAACTTTTGTCGAGAGACAGTGGCCTTTTGAAGAGGAAGCGGAAGTGAAAATAAAGATGCTAAAACCACCAAAAGCGACTTATGCTCCTTTCATAAGCGTAACAGTAGAAGTGGGTTAATATGAGTCTATTGTACTTTCTAATCTTGGCTCTTATCCTGAAAGATGTAATACAAATCTAAAAGACAAAGTGACATGATCCAAAGGTAAAGGGAGGGCTATCAAGAAGGTTGAAAAGAAAAAAAAAAGAGGATAGCTGAAAGGATTGTAAGAGCCATTTGATGCACGCCCATTGCACACAGGAGCTCACAGCATCTGAGACTGTATGAGAAAGACCTGCACAAGATCAAGCCAGACAGAATTCCAGCAGGGATTGGGGGAGGCACTTCCCTTCATCAGCTGATAAGATATTAGCAATTGACTGCTGCTGGGGGCTGGAGTGGGAGGATATATTTTTAAGGGGTGCATCTTTGAAAATCTACTCATGTTCCAGTAGAGTTTCCTTCACTAAGCAGGGAACTCAAAGTTGGGAAGGAAAGCAGTAGGGACAGGGAAGGAAAGTGAGCACTAAATTCCCCTTGTATTTGCTTCCTTCCCTCCAGTGTTCCTGCCTACTCAAGACATTTTCCTCAGTGTCATGGACATCAGAGTCAGCCATGTCTCAATGAAAAGGAACTGAGGTAAAGCAGATCGAATGCTTTAAAGAAAGAAGTTTGAGGTTCTACCAGTTGAGTTCTAAGTGATTCAAGTATTTCAAATTTAGATATAGGTTATGTCTGTTAGATGCTTTGAAATATGAAATGTTACCTTTAAACTCTACGTTAATTTATAAAGTGCCTTATTCATAAATGTTTATTGACCACACAATACAGTTCTAGGTCTTGAATTATAGCAGAGAGCAAAGTCATATTTCAAATGAGAATTTCACTTTTCAACTAATTTTGTTTATTTAATGACAAAGGACAAACAGGCTAGAAAAATAGGAACAAATGCAGATTTTTCCTAGAAATTTTACTTAACATAGCATCAAAACACATTATTTATTTCTATAAAAGATAATATAAAATATTAATAATATGCACTATTTATCCCAATTTGAAAATATAACCAGTTATGCATTATAATATGTCAGAAGTTATTCAAGCTATATTTAGCACTGTCTAATTATAGCATTATATAGGGTATATATACCTATTTATTTATAAAAGTAGACTGTTATATCATTCACCATTTTCTTATATTAGCATTAAAATACATATTTTGTGCTAAGGATTAAAATAAATGTTTCAAATATGTTCTGTGATAGGTATGAAAATTCACTGAGTGTTGTCACCCAACTGAATTCAAGACCACACTTGCTGCCTGGGAATGATAAAGTAAGGACAAAGACAATAAAGAAATTCCATAGAGTTTAGAATGCTTATTTTTTCCATTTCATATAATCTAGACACAAAAAAGAACATGTGAATAAGTGGTGGTGAATGAGAACTCATAAATAGAATAGAGGATTAGTGTATAAGTATAGAGGATTAAAGTATAAGCAAAACTTGGAGGAGGTAGAGTTCCCACCCACTTTTCAATGATTTGATGCTTACTATGTCAATGAGGAGAAAAGGGGCAGTGCTGATATATTTGTAGAGGTGGAATTGATAGTGGTTCTGCTGAGACAGTTTTCAAGTCTCCATTTTTATTCTTTAGGTGAAATTAAATTACGTAGATTAATCTAGTGGGGCCATTGTTAAGGATAACTGTGATGTCACTGAACACTTTTTACATGTCAAACTGTCTCATGAGAGGGTTTCATTGAATATGATATTTTATTGTGTGTTTTATTGTTTAAGAAATTTATACAATCATGCAACATGGTTTTATCAACCACACCCCTCCCATCCTCATATAGTTCCTTCCCCCCCAGGAATATCAGTATTTCTTCTCAGCCTATGGTAATTTTCTGTCTCTGAATCCACTTAGAGGTATAGTACATGTAGTGGGTAGGGTTATCTATTGGAGCATGATTAGTCTCCATAAGAGCTGTGTCTTTAGAGAAAACTAACATTCTCTCTCCTAGAAACCACTGATTACCAATAGTTCTTCAGCTAGGGGTGGGACTGTATGAGCACCTTCCCTCTCCATGCTGGGGTTTGGTCTGGCTTTATCATGTGCGGGCCTTGTGTATGCGTTTCCAGTTGCTGTTATTTTATATGTGAAACTGCTCTCCTGTGTCCCACAATCACTGCCTTTCAGTCATCCACTGGTTCTTACAAGCTTTCCACCCCTTTTCTCCTTGTGAAGAGGGGATATGACAAAGATTGCAATTAAAACAACCACAGAAGTAGATTTTGCCTAAAACTACATGTGGCTCAGTGTCTTTGACAAAAAATATTTTCATGTCAACACCAAGGTAATTAGAACTTATATAGGTTTAACCAATCATATTAGTTCAATTGATGTTTATTCAATATCTAATTATAAATGTCATTTTGTAGAGTGTTTGAAAGCTTTTAAGGGGATGTTATACATGGATTTCACTATTCATAAACCCATATTTCAGCTTGGAGAAATATAAGCAAATTATTGGAAAGAATAATGCCAATTACTTGATAAATTCTCCAAACGTGTAGTGCATATAGTAAACTTTATAGAACTTCTGGGAGCTACAAAGTTCCTGTTCAGTAGAACACCTAGGAAAACTGCAGAGAAATAAGCATAGATGTCACATGAAGAAGTTGCATTGTTTTATAGACAGGAAATGGAGAAATATCGTACATGTTTATCTTGGCACCGAACATGATTTACAAACTCCAAGCTGTTTCACAACCTTTCCTTCTTTTTGGACCAGCATATGCCTTTCTCAGACTCTAGGATTCTGCTAGCATATTCACAGGGACGCAGTGCCAGCATCCCTAGTTCTCCCTACGAGACTAAGTTAAATACATCTTTAGAAGCCTGAACATACTTCACCCTTGCTCTGTCATTTAGTACACATGAACATGTGTGCATTTCTCACCACATGATTTCCTTTACCTTTTTCACTGATATGAAGGTCATTTTTTCACTTGAACACTTCCACTGAAGTCATAGTGGCCCATAATTCTAATATCTCAAAGACTGAAGAGGCAATAAGTAAGTAACATTTTAATTCTTTTTCCTTTCTTGTGCACATTTCTTTCCTCATTCAAATTACTATATTTTGACATAGGTACCTTCATATGATTTTACAAACTCTATCCTTGTTCAAGTTACCACTGAACTAATTGAACACTTTGCTCCCTGGCTCCAAGGAGTCTTCCCCAGTGTGTCTTATGTCATCTTTCAACGATACTGAACTTTCTGAAAAACAGTCATCTTATGCCAAGACCAGTCAGGATTTTAACTCTTTTGCTCCTTCTGTTTAGTTATTTTCCTCATTACATGGCTACCCTTCAATGTCATGAAAATTTTAACACTTTCAAACTAAAAATTAAAAATATATACTCTTTGATTATTTTCCAATTTGATTAAAAATATTCAGGTACTTATCCATTTACCCCATCTCTTTTATGTTGATCATCATGCTTCTTTTTCTTTTCTTTCTTTGTTGTGTGAAGTGCATTTTCTCTCTCTCCTGTGTACATCACCCCCTTGTGTACATGTGCCTGTGTGTGTGTGTGTTTGTGTGTGTGTGTGTGTGTGTTGATATACACATGTAGGCATATGAAAGACAGAGGTCAATGCTACATACATTTCTGAATAACTTTTTGTCCTATTTTTGGAGACTGGTGCTCACTTATTGGCTAGACTGGCTGGCTAGTGAACTCTGGGATTCTTGTGAGTTTTGTGCTCCCCACCCCATGTCTAGGGTTATAGACATTGCTGAGCGTGACTGGGTACTAGAGATGCAAACCTGGCCCCAACATTTGTACAGAAGTCCCTTACCATGGGCCATCTCCAGAACCTCATGCATTTTCTTTTTTTATTACTCACCTAATGCTACACTTTGCTTCTGCCCGTCTTGGAATTCACTGTCTACCATCATGGCTCAACTCACAAACACATCACATTTTCCTCTCACCATCTGTTTGAAACTCACTTAGGGAAACTTTCCAATCCTGATGATATTCACATATCAACTATTGGATGGCAATATGAAGCTTCAGTGTGTTTCCTAGGAAAATAGCATAGTTTTGTATTCTGGATGTACTACAGGTTATAACAATGCTCACAAATTGCAACTCGGCATATTCACACCAAGTATAGATTTCACAAATCTCATTCTTGACTTAAGTATTTTCAATTGCTTCTATTATCAACCATTAATTGTAACATGATAAATAAAGGACTCTGAGACTGATATTGAGGTTCTAGCATCAAGTTGAGGATCAGAAAAGCAAAGAGGCCAAGCCTGTAGTTCTTACCTCTACCTCAGCTCAGACAAAGGCCCGATTCTCAAACTGTTCCCGACTTTACTGATTTTCAGATTCACTCAGACTGCTATGCTCTCCTCAGTTTGACTGGGGATTTCAATATCTTCCTACCCTAATCATTTTTTTTCAGGCCAGGAAATTAACCCCTAATTTTCTCAACTGTTTCTTTACTCTACGTTTTAGGAGTTCAATACTATATCCATGCTATTGCATAACACAAGCTATTAATGAATAACCTGTTCCACATCCAAGCCCACACAAGCAAAAAGCATTTTTTTATTTTAGAAACAATCTTATTTTACATATCAACCCCCCCCATTCCTTCACTCTCCCATCCATCCATGCCCCCCACTCCCCAAAGACAGTGAGGTCCTCCAGGGGGACCATCACATCATTTGGGGGGAGAGCCCAGACCCTCCTTCCTGTATCTGGGCTGCAATAGTATTCTTCCATAGGGAATGGGCTCCCAAAGTCCATTTGCGCACTAGGGATAAACACAGGCTCCACTGTTAGAGGTCCCATAGACTGCCCTAGCCTCCTAGCTGGCACCCACATTCAGAGGGCTTGGTTCAGTCCAACACTGTTCCTCAACTTTGCGTCTGGGTTCCTGTGCTCTCACTTGTTTGGGTCAATTGTTTTTGTGGGTTTCTCCATCACGGTCTTGTCTCCTTTGCTCATCCCTCCTCCCTCTCTGCAACTGGATTCCAGGGGTATGTCCTATAGTACACAAAGCTTTGAGACAAATATCAAATTGCCACAACTTCAAATCACTATCTGACATAGAAAAGAATGTTTTCACTGTCCTTAAATATAGAAAGCCCAAATACATTCCATTACTTCAGTACTGTAGAGTCTTTTGCATTTAGTACTTCTGTAACAATGTCAGGCCTTTTTTTCTTTGATAAAGGGTATATTTAAATATATGCTGGTTATGTAGTTTTTAACATTTAGGTCACTTCTCACCCATTTACCTCTTTCTCAACTAGTTAACCCCTATTTTCAAAGAGGATAGTATTCATATCCTCTGAATAAACTCTGGAATGTACACATCTATTGTGCTTAGCAAATAATTACCAGCACATAAAATAACATATTATATGTGTTAATTAACATGGGATTAATCACAATAATATGTGCATTCAGGTACAACCTATTTTTTCCATTGATTTTTTTATCAGAATTGAAGAGAGATGGTAGTCATACAACATAGATGACTTCATGTGATAACTTATCTTTGTCCTAAGATAGTTTAAAGCTTTGCATCTGGACTCTATCTCTGAGTGTCTCTGTATGTCTGCCTTTTGTGTGAAATGATAAACTATGGGGATATTTTACTGAAATAGTAAGCAATAAAAATAATATGCATTGTTTGATTCAGATGTGGAAGGTGTAGAAAGACTGGAGTTAGGGAATATTTTGGAGTAATAATTTAGGTTTTTGAATTCCAGGTATTTCTACTCTATTCCTTCATCTGTAATTTGTAGCTGTCATTATTGTCAGGAGTTACTGACACCTGTGGCAAAACAAAAACTTGGGTTGATAAGAATGGAACACAGAAACAACTAGTTTGTGCCTCAAATGTCTCAAATGTGTACTATAAACTTTACTCTCTGTCACAAGAAGCAACCATGACTTTATCTTGCAAGTTAATAAGTTGCCGTACATAATACATCATTATAGTTATATAAATGTGATGAGTGAAGGAAGTCCTGAGTAAATGTGTAAGGAACACATGACGTCCTAAGCGAATGTGTAATATTGGCAAGGACCCCATTGATACACATCAAAGGGAATGTGTGAAGCCTTTATAGGTTCAAGTTGCAGGATTGGAAAGCCTTCCTTTGGTCAAATTACAAGAGTCTGCCAATGATTGATGAGTATGTACCAAAACTAGCAGCATAGCTTCATTCTGCATGGTGACTGAAAACTGAGACTGCATCCTTATAGAGACTAGCTAACACTTCTCCTGTGTGCTTAACATAATAAATGTGCTGGAACATCAGGTTGTTGTATAGTTGGTGTCCTCCAACAGGCCTCACACAGCCCACCTAATCCCAGCTTTTCTGTATGTGTGCCTTATATTTCTGACATTTCTTCACTCCCAATTCACCATAGTCAGGCTTCCAGGACCAAGACATGGAGCATGTGTCATGAATACACTTTGCTGAGGGCTCAATGACATTCAAGCATGGCATTTTTGTAGAGTATAGCCTTCCCGCCAGCCTGGTTCCAGAGCTGCATCAGTCCCAAATGAACACACAGGAGGCTATATTAATTATGAAGCTGTTGGCTTGGTTTCTTATTGGCAATCTCTGACTTAAATATTTACCCCATAATTGTTAATCTAAGTATTTCTTTTACCAGAGAAAGGAGTCTGGACCTCTTATTCCTATTGCAGATACATCATGACTGCCTGTGTCTCTCTTTCCCAAAAATCCTCCTCAACTCCTAGTCCCACATATCCTGCTTCCCTATTGGCCAGCAGTGCTTTATTGACATATACACAGGACTTCCCCGTCATCTCCTCTTTTCTGTCTAAATAAAAAAAAGGTTTTAACTTTAACATACTCAAATTATATATAACAGAACAGTTATCAAGTAAGAACATAGTTACAATATTTTGTCTATTAACATTTAGTAAGATTTAAAGAATTTTATTATCTATCCTATCTGTCTGAGTCTAAAGTCTTATATGTAGCTTATCTTTTATCAAAACTAAAGAAAACTATAATTATAACTATCTGTCTTCAACTACATCAAAGACCACCGAAGGATAATATATAAACCCTAGAGTTGACAGAGATATCTTGCTGCCTGGACAGTCACCAGAAGTTTCTCTGTAATGTTGGAGCATCCATCTTCAGCCCACAGACCACATTGTGTCTGGAAGACTTCTCAGCAAAGCAGGAAATTTTGAACTGTCCATCTGTATTGGCAGTCTGTTATTCATTTATCTGTGTCCTGTAGAAAGTCTTGTACACTCTTCCATGAAGCAAGAACCCTGTAGGACTGTTTGAGTTTAGTAGTCACTTTCCTGTGGGTTTTGTATGTCCAGTTTATATAGCAACAGTCAGGCAGTCTAAGAAAGAGCAGTTTCTTGCCCAAATGGCTAATCTTGCCATGTTGAAAGTAAACTCCATAACAAGTTTATTTGATGCCCATCTTCCTCTCAGACATAACTGATGTGCTAGGAGCAGACATCATTATCAAGAAAAACCCTAAACCATTTTAAATGTCAATTTTTGAAGGTCTTTGAAAGGTTTGAAGACTGTCTATCTATCTCAAATATATCTCTGTATATCTAGAAAACCTAACTAACCTAACTATAAGTAACTATCTATAGTCTGTATTTAATTATGTATTACATTTTTAAAGATCAGTATAAGCACAATACTTAATCAAGAGGGGATCCCCTCGTTCTGTGTTTTCTTTATCGTTTCTATTTCTGCTTTCAATCCTTCAACTGTTTCAGTTGTTTCCTTCATTTTTTTGGTTTTTTTTTTTTGGTGCTCTTTAGATTCTTTGAGAGATTTGTTTATTTTTTGAAAATTTCCCCCCATTTCATGGATTTTTTCTTCTATTTCTTTAAGGGATTTCCTTGTTTCTTCCTTGAGGGTCTCTATCATCTTCATGAAATAATTTTTAAGGTCTGTCTCCTCTTCTTCATCTATGTAGTGCTTTTCAGGTCTTGCTGGTGTTGGTTCCCTAGATTCTGGTGGGGTCATGTTGGTCTTTCTATTGCTGAGTGAGTTCTTATTCTGTCTTCTTCCCATCTCTTCTTCCAGTGGGTGCTGGTGGGGTCTTTCCATCTCCACTGGTCTCCTTCCTTCCTGAAGCTGGGGATGCTGACACTGAAGCTTAAGGTGAAGCTGGGGTTGCCGGAGTTTGGGGCCCAGAAGGGCTGATGTCTTTCCTGAAGCTGGGCTCGCCAGAGTTTGGGGCCTGGAAGGGCTGATGTCTTTCCTGTGTGGGCGGGTCTTCTGGATGCCAGGAGCAGCCCTGGAATATCGAGGGGATGGGTGTTGGGCATGGGATGGGGGGTGTCCCCACTGGAGATGCAATCTCACCTGAAGCTGGGCTCGCTGGGGTTTGGGGCCTGGAAGGGCTGATGCATTTCCTCGTTAATTTTGTTTTTAATTGTCTCAGTTACATAGAATCCATGTCCAATGCTACAACTTTTATCAGTCATCAAAGATTTCCTTTCCAATACCTTACTTACTTGTTCTGTGCAACTCAGAACAAGTGGTACAAGAATGTCTTCTTTACCACACATTCTATGTGGAGAACTACTGCTCCATTAAATATCAGTGATTAGTTTTATGTGTGTTTGCACATATCTGCATATGTGTTTACACATGCAAACCTGACAGAAAAGTTTACATTGAACTTGTTTTTGCTAGTTTTCTTGTTTTATAACCAGCATTGAGTGTTCTCAGTTATTCAGGGTCAACTCCACACACTCTTTTCTATGGGTAGAAAACAACTCACTGAGCTCAGTGACTCCAGTCTCACAGCTGAGGAACCTGCATAAGACCGAACCAGACACTCTGAATATAGGTGTCAGTTGTGGGGCTTGGGCAGTCTGTGGGGTTGCTGGCAGTGGAACCAGTATTTATGGACTTTGGGAGTCCATTATCCATGGAGAGATACTCTCTCAGCCTAGATACATGGGGGAGGGTTAGGACCTGCCCCAAATGAAGAGACAGATCTTGATGATCTTGCATTGGAGGCCTCACCCTCCCTGGGGAGTGGATGAGGGGAGGGATGGGATGATACCAGGTGGGGGGGAATGGGGAGGATGAGAGGGAAATGGAACTGTGATTGGTATGTAAAAGAAGATTGCTTTTAGTTTAAATAAAAATTAATGAAAAGAAACGACTTATTGACACATACTTATTCACCATAGTTTCCTTTCCATTGCTTCATGATTTTTTTAAATGATTATGACCTGTATCTTGGAAACCAAATCATATGAAGCAAAATTATATCAGGCACCTGAGTTGACCACCAAATTCTAATTCTCAGCTCTTGTTTCAAGAACAGGAATAAAAGCTAATGAATCCCAAAGACGATTTCATGTGGCAACTGAGCAGCCTTAACTCTAACCACACACAGTGCTTATTTGATAACTACATAAATAGTATTGATTCTAGGACTTTGCATCCCATACTATATCATACATTCATCATTAGATAGGACAGGAGGAGAGAAATCCTTTCCATTCTATCAGGAATTACAAAAATCCCTAGAGTGTTCAGTAATTTTTGTAAGGCATTTAAAGTTCATAGTCATCCTAGGAGCTAAGTACTGATTCACCAGTTCTGCTTTGAATATCTGATGCAGAGTAATATCAAGAAAATTAAACAGGGGTGCTGGAGAGATGACTCAGTGGGAAGGAAGAGTGGTTCCTATCCAGGTGACTTGGACTCAGTTCCTAGCCCCCATGTGGCAGCTCCTAACTGTCTATAATTCCAGTTCAGGTGATGTGGCATGGTCATAGAGATGTACATGCAGACACCAATGCACATAAATACATAAATCAAATCATAAGAAGGAAACAGGTAAGATTCATGGCTGGAAAATGTGGAGACAGGATTCACATCTGAGTAATTTGGCTTCAGAATCATCATTTCCACCTCCCAAAACCCTCACAGAGTATATTCAATAAAGGTGTTTGGTTTAATGAGTGGATTGGGGTTAGACTATTTTAAATGATTTATAGTATCATTTGGGTTTGCATATGTGTGGAAGTACCATATATACAGTGTACATTATCTCAAGGATTTCTTCTCTGTGTGGATTTTTATAACACATTAGTGATTAACTCCAAGTCACCAATAATATGTCCCTATTATATTAAAGAAAAAATAAAAACACTTCTCCTTAGAGTCATTTAAACAACTTAAGTTAGTATTTGAATTCTGTATTTCTACTTCATGTTCCCTGAGTCTTTTGTTCTTTGTTACCTGAGTCTGAAGGCTGTCTTGTGAATCTGTTTGTCTCTGTGTCTGTGTATGGCTATCCCTTTGTGTGTCTGTCTATTGTATAGGGTGTGTGTGTGTGTGTGTGTGTGTGTGTGTGTGTGTGGTCTGTCCATCTGTGAGTGGCATCACTGTCTGCCTTCACTCTATTGAACAGCATAGGAAACATCCTATGGGATAAGGAATGAAATACTTTACAGAAATCTTTAACAGCTTCTTACAAGGGATTAAGTCACTACCTACAACTGATCCCAGCTGATCCAGATAACAAATACTGCTTATCAACTGACAGATATAAATGGTTGCTTTTAACTTTTATGGTAGGTTTTGGGAAGTTGCTTTCAACTTCTGTGTTTGCTGCTTTCAGCAAATAATACACATGCATTGCTCTGGTGCATGGCAGAGTACATAAGTAAAGATTGCATCTATACCTTAGATTAGCCAAAGCAAGTAAAGTTGGATGTTACAATGCTCTCTTACAGGCAGGTTCAGCAAACATTTTAGTACATAACAGGCTAGTCATCTTAAATCTTAAGTGGCATCAAGGTGTATTATTAACTCTGGATGTGAGCTCCAGCAATGGGTTATGGTGTCTTAGAATGTAAAAGGGATTTTCAGAATATTACATCATCACAATTCTCATTGTTAATCTCTCAGTGAGAATGCTCTTTAGGACTTAGAAAATGGAGTCAGCATGATGTTAGTGCCAGTGGAGAGCAGGCTTCCTCAAGAGCACAAGTGGTTCCATGCAGCTTACTAAAAGAGGGTAAAGGAATTTCATTGGCAGAATGCAATAATCAAATATATGCTCATTATGATTTTTTTTTAGTTTTTATGAGACAGGGTTTCTCTGTATTGTTTTGGAGGCTGTCAGTCTAGCCTGGCCTTGAACTCACAGAGATCCGCCTGCCTCTGCCTCCCGAGTGCTGGGATTAAAGGCGTGTGCCACCACCGCCCGGCTATGATTTTGTAATGTAATTAAACTTAATCTAACCCATCTTTATTCTTTCCTCATACATTGTACACAATCCAATGAACATGCACTTCAGATTATTTGATTAGTTATTGATGAACCTGCTATCATGGGCAGCATTATTGTTTCCACTGAAACCAACAAGTTCTGGAACATGTGTGGTGATAGAAGCAAAAATAATAATGGTAATCTTAATATTGTACAATATTTCAAATGGTGTTATCTTTATTAATCAAGCTATATTTTAATATTTAATATTCAAATTTTTTGCTAAGATTTTAATCTAGTACTTTTTTCTTTTTCACCAGTGACAGAAATACAATATGTCTTCAACAGCCAGACAGGAGATGCCAAGATGTTAAACTATTAAGAAAAGAAAATGGTTTCAACAGAAGACATTTTGACTTTAACCAGAAGAAAAGAAAAGTCATTACATCTTCATGTCACTTGCTTTATTTGAAAAGGTCTTTGAAAACATAGTTTTTTCACAATAAAACAGCATCATGTTTTTCAATGTAGCCAGGTACTTTTGTGTTACCTGGCACATGTGTGTGAGGCAGAGCTGTTCTCTCTAGCACAGCTGCTGTGCTCTACCCAACAATTGAAAGTGTGGCTACTTTTGGGCAAATTTTGAGATTGTCTTCTCACACTCTGACTTTTGTAGTGCAAAGTCTTATTACCCAAGTGTGTTGGGTATCACTAATCAAGGTCATGCTACATCTGTTCCCAAATTGTGATGTCTTTAATATCCTGCCTTTGCCATGGAGAGGTGTGCATTTGGCCATTGTTACTGACTAAGACAATAAAATTGTTTTGTGCTCAGAATTATGTCAACTCACATTACATGTGTCTGGGTACTAGAAATGTTCAGCAAGTGGGACATGAACTGAGAAGCTCACCATTAACTTGAACTTGGAATAAACCAACTTGGCCAGAGACTTTATATTACCTGATATCCAGGGTCTTATTCTGAGGTCACAGTGATGCTGCAGACTGTATAAACCAAATTCTACTTGAACCTTTTGTCCAGTAGCAATTACACTGACTGATACTCCTCACTTAAAACATCACATTAAAAAAAAGACCTTTTTTCCCTGTGGAGAAGTGCCCTTGGGAAGGTACTATTGAAGTATGTTTCAATCTAATAAGAAGTGAGATGCTCTTTTAGTTGATGAGTTCTAAAAATTACCTCTGTTCTGGCTCCTGGACCTGAGTGCATGGCTTCTTTTTAGCGTACTTCTTAAACTTTAGGTTGAGAGATGTTTAATTCATTTCACTGTAGAAGTACCCCAGCTGGTTAAGTAGCGAACTTCTGTGTGGGACAGCACATACCATCCTAGTAAGAATCCTCAGCCTGCATTGGGATGGATTGTTTCAGCTCTCAGTGTCAACATGCTGCTCATAACGTCCTTTCTAGATTTTGACTCTCAAGTGGACCGCCTCTTTCTTATTAGTGTGTTGTTACTCCCACTGCAATTGTGAGCAGTGTGTCAAATTTCTACTATCAACCTTGGCTTACAGAAGACAGCAGATCCCACTGAGGTTCTCAGTGGGACACTATTCATTAAGAAATCATTTACTGATTGAATAATGCAGTATTTGGGGGTTTCCTTGTAAAACATGCACTTCAGATGACGTTTCTTTTTTATATTGTTTATTTATAAACACATTTTTTAAAGAATTGTTTTGCTCTTTTGGCTATTTCCTGTGATAACATTTCTATGTTCACTTTATTTCATGTGCCCCATACATTTTTCCACTTTAAAGAGAACTTTATTAGTAAAGTGTTGTCTAATGATTTGTGCTAGGTTCTTAGTGTCTACTTGTGTAATGATGAATTAATTCTCTCATCACTTTTATGTAACAGAACTTTAGATCTGTCAAGCTCAGCACCCTCTGGAGTTAATCTCATGTATCCTCTTGAAGTTCCGGCTAGTCTGTGCTTGCTCTGTTTTTCAACTTAACTGAAATACAGTCCTTCTTCCATGGCAAAATCAACTTTACCCCTTGAGGATATATGTTGACTTGGCCTTAGTGCAATCTGCCCGCAAAATAAGTTTCAAGCCATTGCCTTCTAGTTAAAGGAGAATAGACAGTTACAAGGTGAGATGGCCCACTTTTACAGGGTGAAGGGGTTCAGAAAAGACTGTGCTTCAGGCTCAATGCCTGCTTAAAGATGTCTTGATTCCAAGTTTCACTTCTTTCCAAATAAGGTCTTGACCTTGCTAGAAGAGATTTGCCAAAGCTGAGAACTGAGGCTTTACTGGAACTCCACACCCCATAGGCTTGTGGGCATGTGTCCTGGGCCAGTTTTTTCCCTGGTCTGTAGAGGCTATAGATGAGAGCTCAGGTCTTATAGCAATGCAGCCCCTACTTCCTTCCTTTTTTCTTTATTCTTTCTCTGTGTATTTGTGTCAGGCTCTCAGGGAGGATGGGGATGCTTCCTTTTTGCAGGCATGCACTCTAGGATTGACTATTGAGAACATTCCCTCCAAGATACAGTGGTTGTGCAGTCATTTTCTTATACAGAAAATCAGCTCATTCAAAGTCACTATTTATAAAGAATTCTTGCTGATTAGTACCCAAATAACTGGTTTTTTTTCATTTCAATCTTGCTTCATATGTCAATCCCAGCTCCCTCCCACTCCCCTCCTCCCCTGCCTCCCAACCAGCTCCCCCAGGCCCCCATCCAATCCCGACTCAATTCCTTAGGTAGTGTGGGACCATCCCTGGGGGATCCCCTGAGTCTGTCACTTTGTCCAGGGCCAGGCCCAGGTCCTTCCCCAAGAGATCAGGCCGAGAGAGCATCCTTCACTGTGGGAGGGGTACCCAAAGTCCATCTGTATGCCTGGGACAAACACCAATTCACCACCCAAGGCCCCACAGTTTGTCCAGGACTCCTGGTTGACACGCACATTCAGGGAGTCTGGATCAGTCCCATGCTGGTCTCCCAGCTATCAGGCAGGGGTCCAAGAGCTCCCCCGTGTTCAGGTCAGCTGTCTCTGTGGGTTTCAGAAGCCCAGGCTTGAACCCTTTGTTCATCATTCTTCCCTCTCTGTAACTGGGTTACAGGAGTTCAGTTCAATGTTTAGCTGTGGGTGTCTGCCTCTGCTTCCATCAGTCACTGGATGAAGGTTCTAGTTGGCATATAAGGAAGTTATCAAACTCAATATCAGGAATGGGCATTTAAGGTAGCCTCTTCACTATTGCCTAGATTGTCAGTTGGTGTCATCCTTGTAGATCTCTGGAAATCACACTAGTGCCAGGTATCTCCCAAACCTATAATGACTCCCTCTATTATGGTACCTCTCATCTTGTTCTCCTCCTCTCCCAACTTAATCTTCCCACTCCCCCATGTCCTCCTCTCCCCTCTTCCTCTCCCTCTCTCCTCTTCACAGATCCCCCTCTCCTCCCTCATGCTTCCAGCCTGCTCAGGAGATCTTGGCTCATTCCCCTTATCTGGGGTACCATTCATATCTCTCTTAGAATCCCAAACTGATGGTGGGATTGTAGGCTGGTACTCCACTGAGCCATGTCTAAAACTCATATATGACTGAGTACATATCATATCATGTTTGTCTTTTTGTGACTGGGTTACCTCACCCAGGATGGTTTCTTCTAGTGCCATCCATTTGCCTATGAATTTCAAGAATCCATTGTGGCTTTTTTCCTGCCAAGTAATACTCCATTGTGTAAATGTACAACATTTTCTCTATCCACTTTTTAGTTGAGGGGCATCTAGGTTGCTTCCAGGTTCTGACTATTACAAATAATGCTGCTATGAACATAGTAGAACAGACGTCCTTGTTGTATGAATGTGCATCTTTTGGGTATATGCCTAAGTGTGGAATCACTGCCTCATGATAGATTGATTCCCATTATCCTGAGGCTTCTCCATACTGGTTTCCAAGGTGGGTGTATGAGTTAGCACTCCCACCAGCAGTGGAGGAGTGTTCCCCTCTCTCCACATTCTCTCCAGCATAAATTGTCATTGGAGTTTTTGATTTAAGCCATTCTGACAGGAGTGAGATGGTATCTCAGAGTTATTTTGATTTGCATTTCCCAGATGGGTAGGATGTTGAGCACTTTCTTAAGTGTCTATTAGCTATTTGAGACTCCTGTATTGAGAATTCTCTATTTAGTTCTGTACCTGACATTTTTAATTGGATCCTTTGGTGTTTTGGATACTTGCTTCTTGAGTTGTTTGTAAATTTTGGAGATCAGCCTTCTGTCAGATACTGGGTTTGTGAATATCTTTTCCCATTATATGGGCTGCTTTTTTGTCATGTTGACTGTGTCCTTTGCCATATAGAAGCTTCTCAGTTTTAGGAGGTCCTATTTGTTAAGTGTCGATCTCAGTGTCTGTGCTAGCTGTGTTATGTTCAGAAAGCAGTGTCCTATACCAATTCATTCAAGGGTACCTCCAACTTTCTCTTCTAAGAGGTTCAGTGTTGCTGGATTTATGTTGAGGTCTCTGATCCATTTGGACTTAAGTTTTGTGCATGGTGATAGATACGGATCTATCTGCAGTCTTCCAGTTATGCCAGCACCATTTGTTGAAGATGCTTTCTTTTTTCCATTGTATAATTTTAGCTTGTTTGTAAAAAATCAAGTGTTCCTAGGTATGTAGGTTAATATCAGGGTTTTCAATTTGATTCCATTGGTCTACCTGTCTATTTTTGTGCCAATACCAAGCTGTTTTCATGACTGTAGCTCTATAATGAAGCTTGAAGTCAGGGATGTTGATGCCTCTGGAAGTTCCTTTATTGTACAGGGTTCTTTTGGCTATCCTAGATCTTTTGTTTTTCCATTTAAAGTTGATTCAGTGTCTGTGAAGAATTGTGTCGCTATTTTGATAGGGATTGCATTGAATTGCTTTTGGTAAGATTGCCATTTTTACTATATTGATCCTGTCTATCCAAGAGCATTGGAGAGCTTTCCATTTTCTGGTATCTTCTTTAATTTCTTTCTTTAAGTACTCAAAGTTCTTGATATACAGGTCTTTCGCTTCTTTGGTTAGCATTATCCCCAGATATTTAATGTTGTTTGGGGTTGTTGTAAAGGCTGATGTTTCTTGCAGCCCATTTATCATCTGTGTATAATCTTGTATGCTGCCACTTTGCTGAAGGTGTTTATCAGCTGTAGAAGTTCCTGTGTAGAGTGTTTCGGGTCACTTATGTAAACTATCATATCATCTGCAAATAGTGAGAGTTTGCCCTCTTCCTTTCCAATTTGTATCCCCTTGACCTCCTTTTGTTGTCTTATTGCTCTATCTAGAACTTCAAGTACAATGTTGAAACCACATGGAGAGAGTGGACAGAATTGTCTTGTTCCTGATCTTAGAGGAATTGTGTTGAGTTTCTCTTCATTTAATTTGTTGAATATGTTTTCTTTGCCTTTGAGCTGTATTTCTCCATCTTCTTCTATACCTATTATTCTCAGGTTTGGTCTCTTCACGTTGTCCCATATTTTCTGTATGTTTAGGTATTTGTTGGACTTGAGATTTTATTTGGTCGATGACTGTATATCCTCTAATGAGTCTTCAACACTTGAGATTCTCTCTTCCATCTCTTGTAGTCTATTGGTTATATTAACATCTGTAGTTCCTGATCCTTTACCCACCTTTTCTATTTTCAGCCTGCCCTCATTCTGTGTTTTCTTTATTGTTTCCATTTCAGTTTCAAGTCTTGGATTGTTGGAGTTGTTTCCTATACTTGTTTGTCTTTTTTTGGCTCTCTTTAGATACTTTAAGAGATTTGCTTATTTCATGAATTTTTTGTTTTTTCTTCTATTAAGGGATTTCCTCATTTCCTCTTTGAGGGTCT